GCGTTTGGCAAAGTGGTTAAGACACCACTTGGGACAGCCGTGTACCATACTGGAGCACCTGGGTTCAAGTCCTGGCTCCAACCCTTATTTCAGCTTCCTGCAAGTGTACACCCGGGGAGGCAGCAGGTGATGGCTTAAGTACTTGCGTTCCTGCTACCCATGTGGGAGACCCAGTTTGAGTTCCAGGCTCCCTGACAGTCGAGGGAATTTGGGAGAGTGAACCAGCAGATAGGAGATCTCTGTGTCTTTTAAAATATTAATTAATTTAAAAGATTCCCTCCAAAACCTGTGCAGTCAGTTGTTCGGCATCGGCCATAACAAATGCTGTGTTGAATTCCGCCACAGCAACCTCATGACCCTGTCTGTTGGGGGCAGAAGTCAAGTTGCAGTGGCTCTAGGATGCAACCACGAGGGAATGGCTTTGGTTTTGATTATAGAATTCATCTTATTTATCCATAGTTGTCACACATACATTTTTTCTTTCTCTCCTGCTAAATCATTGATCTCTCTGGCTCTGTGACATGTGCCTATACTCTTCCAAATATGCCAACAGCCTCTTATATGATAAAGTGATGGACCTGGTTTAAGCCTATGGAAAGGGAACTAAAAATACTTCTTCTTCTTTAGGACCTAAGCTTACTGTGCAAGGTGGCGACAGGGGGCAGAGAGGCTATTACTTTTAACATGATAACGTTCACCAGTCTATTTCTTTATGTCTTATTTAATCAGTTCCATCCTATTCTCCAAATAATAAATGTATTTTCTTCTAGTTTTTTTTTTTAATCAGTTCCATCCTATTCTCCAAATAATAAATGTATTTTCTTCTAGTTTTTTTTTTTTTCACATTTAGGTCTTTAATCAATCTGGAATTTATTTTTGTGAATGGAATCAGTGGACATTTAGTTGTTTTCTAATTAAAACTCAATCAACCCCATATCATATGCTGAAGAGTTTGTTTTTCCCCACTAATTTTTTATGCCAGCTCTGTTAAACACCAAGCACTGATAAAAACTTGGGTCTATCTGGGGGCTTTTTTGTCTCATGAATTTATCTACCTCTGGTCTAATACCCTACTGCCTCAATTTCAATACCTTTATAAACAGTCATGGTGTCTGATAGGGTAAGTCATTCCTATTTACTCAACGTTTCAAAACTGTTCATGTGAATTTTAGGGTTACCTTCTCCAGCTCTGTTTAAAAAAATACTGTTGGCATTTTAATTATATTTGCATAAATTTACAGATTGATTTGAAAATTGATGGCAACTTTATAACACAGCATTTCCCATCTATGAATATGGTATATCTTGCCCTTTGTCTAGAACCTTTAAAATGTCCTGCACAAATGTTTCACATTTTTCTCCAAAAAGATTTTGCATATCTTGTAGATTTATTCCTGGGGACTCTTCAGCTTCTTTTTCTGTGGAAAATTTTTTAAAAGACATTTTCCTGCTGTAAACTGAAAATGATTGTTCCTGCTGTGTGATGATGCTGCTCATTTCTGTACATGGATTCACATCCAGCAATCTGGATGAATTCTAATCTCAATGTTCGCAGCTGCCTGGAAAGCCGGAAATTTCTATCAGACAATCACGTTGCCTGCAAATCATGATTCTGTTTCTTCTTTTTCTTTCTTGTTTCTGTGCATTGGCTTGGACCTTCATACAGTGTTAGCTAGAAGAGGTGATAACAAGGATCCTGATTGTGTTCCCGACTTAACTGTGGACTAATATGTAGAGAGATGTGTTCAATGTTAACTGAATTAATTTCAGGGACAAATCTGATTAGGTCATTATTATTGTTATTATACTCCGGAGTTTTGGATTTGCGAGGGTTTCATTTAGGATCTTGATGCCTACGTTCTTAATTAAGATTGGTCTATGGATTGGTCTATGACTTTACTTTTTGTACTGCTTCTGTCCGGTTTTGTTACCAAGATTCATGTGGGAGGCACTGTTCACTGTCTTCCCAGCAGGCACTCCCCAGTCCCTCCCCCTCTCTTATAAACTGAGCACATCCCTCTAGAACATCGGTCTCTTACTATCAGGGAGGAAAATCTTACATCTCATTGGCCAGAGTTGGGTCACATGGTCACCCCTAGCTGCAAGGTTAAGTGGAACAGCGACTATCTGACATTTTGATTGACGTTACCGTCACAATTTATGCTATTTACCATTTTTTAAAAAGGCTTATTTATTTATTTGAAAGAACAACAGAGAGGAGGAGACACACACACACTGAGAGAGAGAGAGAGAGAGAGAGAGAATCTTCCATGTTCTAGTTCACTTCCTAAATGGCCACCCTAGTCAGGGATGGACCACAGTGAAGCCAAGAGCCTGGAACTCCATCTTGGTTTCCCACGTGGGCAGCAGGGGCCCAGGTACTCGGGCCAGCCTCCACTGCTTTCCAGGTACTCGGCCCAGCCTCCACTGCTTTCCAGGTACTCGGCCCAGCCTCCACTGCTTCCCCAGGCACATTAGCAGGGAGCTGCATCAGAAGTGGAGCAGCCAGGACTCCAGCAGGCACTTCAATATTGGATGCTGGAGTTGTAAGCAGCAGTTTTACTTGCTGCATCACAATGCCAGCCTCCAATTTCCTCTTTCTTAAAGTATATTTTTAAGTAGTTCTTGCAGTGTGGGTCTCTGAGTAATAACCTCTTTCAGCCCTTGATTGTGTAAAACCTATTTTTATGCCTGATTCTCATTTCCAATTCTCCATCCATGTGGGCCCAAGGCCACGCTTCCTGTCACCGTATTGGCATGACAACCCCAGCCCATGGACGCCAGGGCCTGCACTGTGTTCTGAGAGTCCCTGCTTTCCTTGGCATTGCTGGCCTGCTGTCCACTCTGATTTGAGTTCTATCTTTATCCCAGGTACCTTAGGATCTCCCTGCCTTTGTTTTGAGCTCAACTTTATATTGTGCTATTTCATCCTGTGTTTATCATAGGAAGTGGGGGAGGGTCCCCATTAATCTTTTTAGTTACTATTACTGGAAGTTCACATTTTCTATTTATAACAAATTTCCCTCTTACTAATGTTTCTGATTCTCCTTTAAAATAAATACCATATATTCTGATGGAGAAAACAGACATGAAAGAGACAGCTGGACACTTCTCATTCTGTTTCAAGAAAAGTTATAAAGCTTCTGAAATTTTTCTTGATTTTGGTGTTTGGGGAACATTCCCCGGGCAATAACCCAGGCGCACGAAGCCGTCTGCCAAGAAATGGAATTTTCCACAGTTTCTCCTCTGCTGCACTTGCTGCCCTCTCCTAGCTCTGCAGAGGTGATCCCGGAGGAGAGACCTGCTTCACACCCTCCATGCTGGGAATGCCAAAGCAGCAGACTAAGAAATCTGTTCCTGTAAGGAAACTGTCCCCAGGCCAGGCCCGGAGCCCAGCTCCTCCTGCAAACCAGCAGCTGGCTAGCTCCAAGCTCTGGGAATCAAGAGCCACTAATAGATGAATGGGATCGATCTCATTTGCATCTCGTCGTGACTCAGGGATTCCCCATACGGCATCCTTATGCAGATAAAAATGCAGTGGTTTGGGTGCAGGCTTTTAGCCTACTGATTAAAACCCCTGTGTCCTGCTTCAGAGTGTCCAGGTTGCGGTCCCAGCCCCCGGCTCCCGACTCCAGCTTCCTGCTAATGCAGACCCTGGGAGGCAGCATTGAGTTCTTGACACCCACATGGGAGATCTTCGTCCAGCTTTGACCCCAGCCTGGTCCTACCTGTGGTGGCATCTGGGGAGTGACTCAATGAATGGGAGCATTCTCTGTGTCTCTGTTTCCCCCCAACCCACCTTTCTTTCTGCATCTTAAATAAAAAAGTTTTTAAAAAACAACACACGATGCACTGTGTTAATCCAGCCAAGGCCTTCCCAGGGGAGACTTCCATCCACCCCAATGACAGCACCCAAAGTCTCCCACCAAGAAGGAATAATCCACTTTGGCCAGCTGGAGAGCAGAGCCAATGTGAGAATGGAGGAATCCAGATACGACCCCTCTCAGAAACCTCTGATTACATCCAAGGCACGGTGGCAGTGCCCAGCTAGCATGTAGGGGATACATGCTAAATAACCACATAAGGTCCTAACACGGAGAGGCCAGAAGTGAGGGGAAACGTATTCATGGAAAGACTCATAGAATGCTGGCTTGCTGGCGTAGACCCTTCATTTCAACAAAACACATCTCACACAGCATCTGACTACAACCATTGTGACTCAGATGGAAGAAGACGGGTTAGATGGGGGAATGGGGTGGGGAGATCAGACAATGACAAAGGCAAGCAATTAAAGAATAATCTTGCAAAGCAGACGTGATGGTCTCGGTCCATGCTGGCCCCCAGCCCTTCATGCTTTACCCCTGGAGGAGGGGACTGGCGAGCTCCACCCTGGGGAGGAGGGGGTCACTGGAGAAACGGAAGCTGCACTAACGGTGGAGTGTCGCCTTGCTCACAGGTGGCTGTTTTGTCATTTCCTTTGCAGATACCTGAATGGTTTCCTGGTAGTAAATGGAATGAGTGTTTAGCCTAGCAGTTAAGACGCCCAGCTCCCACACCTGAGTACCCGGGGGCGGTACATGAGCAGGGCTGCTGACTCCAGCTTCCTGCCAGTGCAAACCTTAGGAGGCAACAGTGGTGACGGCTCCAGTGACTGGGTTCCTGCCATCATGTGAGAGACCTGCATTGTATTCCAGGCTCCTGGTTGTTGTGCGCATTTGGGGAGGGGACCAGCGGATCGGAATTCTCTGTCCGTGTCTCTGTCTCTTTGATTCTCAAATAAATTAAAAAAAAAAAAAAAAAAGCAAACACCGAGACAGATCCAAAGGCAAGGCCTGCTTTGCAGGAAGCACGAGGGGATTCTGGTTTGGGAAGCGACGAGATTGGCGGCCGCCGCAGGTGCACGATGACTTTCCAGGATCCTTCTCATCCCAGACGCTCCCCGCCTTTACCTCCATTGTGTGGTGGGGCCGGGGACGGGCGGCTCCGGTGCCACGACTCACCTGTTGAGGTACACCCGCTTCTCGGTGAACTGCCCGTTGCCGTGGTGCGGGTCCTGGAAGGGCTCGTTCTGCACGACCTCCACCCCTTCTCCGCGGTCGCTCTGCTCGTGGCTGTGCTTGCTGATCATGTACAGCTGTCCAATTTTGTACTGCAAAGCACACAGAGACGGAGAGGTCAGCCCACAGCCTGCCCTGGAAAGTCCCCTTCCGACTGCAGCCCGGCCGGCAGCCGACGCCAGGAGCATTTTCTGCGAAGGGGTCTGGGGAGCGAAAAGCAGCCTGCTCCCGGGAACACGGCACAGGCTCCGGGCAAACGCTCCCCGGGGTAGCCGGCACAAGGTCGGCCAGCTACCCACCCGTGGGGGAGTGCTGCAGGCCCCTCCCTTTCTGCCCGCACCGGGTTCAATGGTACTGACGTCCTATGGGGCTGGGCCAGAGAGAGCCGAGGGCATGTTCTAGCTGCCCAGGGAATGCCCTTGCTAGGCGCAGAGGAAGACATCACCAGTGCCTTCTGTCCCCTCTCTCAAGGTATTCCCCACTCCTGGAGGCCTCTGTCCCCCACAAAAGCAGCTCTCAAAGGCGGCTGGACATCAGAATAACCTGGAAGCTTCCAAAAGCCCTGGATGCCCAGGCCCCACCACAAGGACGCCGCGCCCCACACCCATCACGGGTCACCCTGGCTGGCGCTGTCTTGGTGAGCTAAGGCTGGTGTTTGCCCCACGCTGCTCAATCAGGAGCCGCCCGAATGATCAATGAGGCTGGCCAGCCAAGCCCTCCACTGGCTGCCCGTGAATCAGCCTCTGGCCGCCTCGCCCCCTCTCATCTCGACTGAGTGAGCAGCACTTGAGCTTGGCCCAGCCAGGGCCGACCCACGTCTGGCTAAAGGCTCTTCTGTGTCAGGCATCAACCTTGAGTCCCTGTGCTTGTCTCAGGTGCGGGGCCAGCGTACAGAGCTCCTTGTCATCCAGTTCCACCAACAGCGCGGAGCCTCTCCCGCCCCACACGCCGCGAGCCACGCGAAAAGGCCAAGACCAGCGACTCCCACGCTTCTGGGACGCTTTCTGTCGGTCCCTCGCTTCTGAGCCACCCCACTCTCCTTCCTGTCTCTCTGAAGGCATTTCTTCCCCAGGGGACTTGCAGAGTGGCCAAAGCAAGCTGATAGAGGTGCGGGGGGGGGGGGGGGGAGGTTTGCGGGAGGGCGGAGTCTGCTCAGCGTCAGGGGGCGGAACTCCGCGACCCCGCCATGCTCCCTCTTGCACCCCCCCCCCACAGTTGGATTGCCGTGAGGCCTCCGTGGCAGGCAGAAGGGGCCCCAGGGGCCCTGAGCTCATGCGGACTCTGGTTCCAGAGCCCAGGCCAGCGGGGAGGCGGACCTCTTACATGCACCAGGAGAGAAATCCATTTCAAATCGAGGGGGCAGAGGAGACCTCCAAGTCACAGGGACAGCTGGTTCCAGAGCTGGCAGGTCCCGCTGAGGGCAGGTGCAGGGAGGGGAGCGTGGAGAAGCTCGGACAGCCTCTAGGCCACGGCCAGCCCAAGGGACCTGGCCAGTAACCATGACAATGGGAGCGCGCAGCTGGCTGGGGCTCTGCAGAGGGCTGTGCTTCCTGCCTGCTCCATGCCCCGTCCAGGAGGGTTTGCATTCTAAGTGGGAGTGTGTGCTCACACTCGAGGGGAGGAGGGGTGCTAGGGACAGGAGGAGAAAGAGCAGAGAGGCAGCCCAAAGAGAAAACCCATTTATAACACGAATTTCCGGTTCAGAAGCGTGAGCTGGCTTCCCCACAGCCCAGGACGGCTCTCACTTTTGCTCATAGAGACGGACGCTCTTATGGAAAGGAGGAGGACAACAGGAAGAAGTGTTTTTTTTCTTGGTAAATTTATTTATTTACTTGAAAGGCAGAGTTACAGAGAGGGAGAGGCAGAGAGAGAGAGAGATCTTTCATCCACTGGTTCAGTCCCCAAATGGCCCCAATGGCTGGAGCTGGGCCGATCCAAAGCCAGGAGCCAGGAGTCTCTCCTAGGTCTCCCATGCAGGTGCAGGGGCCCAAGGACTTGAGTCATCTGCTACTGCTTTCCCAGGCACATTTGTAGGGAGCTGGATCGGAAGTGGAGCAGCCGAGACTCAAACCTCCACCCATATGGGATGTCAGCGCTGCAGGCAGGGCTTAACCCGCTACGCCACAGTGCCAACCCCAGGAAGAAGTTTTCGGATTGAAGGGTTGTGAGCTCTACCTGTGGGATCAAGGCCCGCCTTTAACAGACGGGCACGTGGGCCTATGATGGGGGGCACGTCTGCTTAGCAGGTGCGGATTTCACCAACAGGTGCTCTGGGCTTGGTGCTCAAAAAATTAACGTTTCCATACGATAGGATATTATTCAGCCCTAAAAAGGACAAAAGGTCTGAAACTGCTCACAGAGCAGAGTGTGTGTCTCACCGTTCAGGGGGCGCAGTCCTGGCACCCACGACCTCAGAATGAGACCTCCTTGGGGAACAGGGGCTCCGCAGAGGTCATTGGGATGGGCCACATCCAATAGGATCAGTGTCCTTGCAGAAAAGGGAAATCCAGACTCAGAGACAGACAGGCACGGAGGACGATGACTTCGGGAGAAGACGGCGTCTGAAAGCCCAGGACTGAGACCTGGGTCGAATCCGAAGGAACCAACACTGCCGACAGCTTGATTACTTCCAGTCTCCTGAATCACGGGTCTGGGGTCTCCTGTTGGGTGGCTGAGCGTATTTTGGAGAGAGGTGGTGGTTGTGTAATGCAGCAAATATTCTAGATGCCCATGAACTATTTGCTTTAAAACAGCTTTTTTTAAATGGTTAATTTTATGTGATGTGCATTTCACTTTTTTTTTTTTTTTCATAAGTGCCGCGTCTGCTTCTGAGACAGAGCCCCGACCCAGGGTCCTGTGTGCGGAGCTGGCGGAGGAGCAGTGTCCACCATGGCCCCCGCACCTGAGACAAGCACAGGGACTCAAGGTTGATGCCTGACACAGAAGAGCCTTTAGCCAGACGTGGGTCAGCCCTGGCTGGGCCAAGCTCAAGTGCTGCTCACTAGGTCGAGATGAGAGGGGGCGAGGCGGCCAGAGGCTGATTCACGGGCAGCCAGTGGAAGGCTTGGCTGGCCAGCCTCATTGATCATTCGGGCGGCTCCTGATTGAGCAGCGTGGGGCAAACACCAGCCTTAGCTCACCAAGACAGCGCCAGCCAGGGTGACCCGTGATGCTGAGGGTGGCAGGACACACCAGCCCCTAAAGGGAGATAGTCAAGGGCTCTGTGGCTGTCCCCACCTCTTCCCCTGCCAAGAAAACCAGGCCTGGCCCTGCTCTTGCTGTTGCTATAAAATCACAGATTGGCTCAAGCAAGCAGCAGTTTCTCTGGGGAGGGGGAAGGGACGGGTGATCCCGGATTCGGCCTGGATGTTGGCAGCAAGCCGCTGTCTCCAAGCTTTGCTGTTTTGGAAGAGGGGTAGCCAGAGTCTGGTGGAAAGACCAGCATTGCCTAAGCTGCGCTCACAGGTGGGGTGGGGGTGGGGGCAGTTGCGCTCTAACTTTGTAAAACCTCTTGTTGTAATTCCAGAGTCTGGAGAATCATCATTACAGGTGATCACGCTCACAGACAGGTCCACACAGCAGGCTGAGAGCCACCCCAGATAATTATCTCCATCGCCAAGAGCCATCCTGGGGGTCCAGCTCTCGCCCACTAGTGCGTGGTGCTGTGTGTTCGCCAGCAATGCAGAAGCCGAGGCACGGCCGCCTTGCGCCCTGGACCTGGGGACACCAGGCGGGGCCAGCCGTTCAACTCGGCACACGTGAGGCCTGGGCACCATCGCGTCCCTTAATGCAGCTTCCAGCCTTGACTGTTACAGAGGCCTGAGCTCAACCCTGAGCTCCTGAGCGCCCTGAACTCTCCTGAACAAAGCAGCAGACCCAAAGTTTTAGGCGCAACGGAACTCCAGGCTATGAACAGTTTTCACTGAACTCTTCCTGCTGGGGTTAGACATGACCTGCAAGGGTTTCCCACCGCACCCCCCTCCAAGCTTCCTGTCCTGGAAGCTTGGATCCCTGGGTGGTGATGCTAAGAGGTGGTGGCACCTCTAAGAGGTACAGCCTAATGGGAAGTCACTGGGCAAACTGCCCTGCGAAGGGATGAAGCACCCCTTGTGGAAAACCAGTGGGTTCTCTCCCCCGTGTCGCTGTGACCTCTCCCTCTCATACAGGCTATTCCCCGGATGTGACGCAGCCAGGGGGACCTTGCAAGAGTTGGCACCACAGTGTTGCGACTTCCTACCTCCAAACCCATGAGCTAAACCAGCCTCTTCTCTTTATCAAGCACCCAGCACTGGGTATTCAGTTACAGCGATGGGAAGCCCCCCGCTATCTGGGAGGCCACTTTGCTGACACCCCCACACTGAAGACCCAGGGGCAGGTCACTTTACCTCCCCCCAACCCATGTCCCCTCTCCCTTTCCCTTCCTTTTCCACACCACTCCCCAACATCATGATATGCAAAGTGGGAACCAGAGCTTTGCAACTCTGGGTGGGGTCCTTCCCCGACAAGACGACTCGGGACCTCCGGGCCCCAGCCTGGGCATCAGAATTTACTTCTGCGGTGGCCTTGACCATCCACACGGAGAGGCACCTGTGCCTCTGACTTCACGTGAGAGCACGTGCTTTGCCGTCTGCGGCACAGGCCAGCTTCCTGCTGGCCTCCCTCTGGCTGTGTGCACACAGGAAAGAGCAGAGAGTGCTCTAACTTGGCCTTCTTGGACCTTCCCCAAATTCTTCAGAGCCACTCTTGATGCTTTTCTTGGAATTTTTCGTCCAGCCACCTCCACTGTCACTCCATGGACCTCAAAGCACAGGAGGTCCTAATACCATGGAACCCACTGAAGACAGGGTCTGAAAGATAAGCTGGGCAGGAATCAGGCCCACTGCTGGCCTGTGCCAATTGTTGTTAGAATTGTAATTACACACGAGGAAGGAGCTACAATGAGTCCAGATTGTAAGTCTCAGGAAGCCACAGGCTAGAGCAGTCCACTCTGATCCTACAGCACAGCAGAGGTACCAGGCCAAACGCCCTGCTCTAGTGGGTGGCAAATGACATGAGCTGGCACCTGCTTTTTAAATAAAGTTTTATTTATACACAGCCGTGCTCACTCCTTCTGCAGCTGCTTTCATGCTACTGTAGGGAAAGAGGGTCCCTGAGGCGGGGTCTGGGCAAATCCAGCGGGAGTGCCAACCCTAATGGGACCCCT